TCAGCAGATGACTTGTCGCTTCCAATGGACAAAGGCAATACTGAAACTATTGAATCAACTAATTATACTTCAGATAAGATGAAACACGAATTGGATTCATGCAAATGTACTACAGTGAGTTTGGATAGCGTATCAGATACCCACGATAACGCTGTTAAAGTTTCACCTCAATGTGGTAGTGGTGCGATTCATTTGAATACAGAAAGCACTGTTTGTGAGAATACCAGGTCTTTTGAGCCGCCACTTGCTGATAATAGAGAAGAAAATGACATGTAAGTTGTAACTTTAATTCCGGTTCCATGTGGTCATTTTCCTTGCTATACTTGCATTCGTTTTACCCCTATTTTATTATTATTATTATTATTTGTTTTTCTGTGCCCACAAATTTTTTTTATTATTTGTTTTTTTTTTCTTTGTAACCAGCATTATGTGGTAAAATTTCTCATCTTAATTGTGTTCCTGTCATTTCTTGCTTTATTAGGTCTGATGTTGTGACAGAGGTCATAAACAAACAAAGGGTGGAAGACCCAAGTTCTCTGTCATTTCCAAATGATCACTTGGGTGATGGTTTAGCCATTCATTCAAGTCCATCTCTAACGGATGGGGGCGATTCTCTGGCACAGGCATCTCCACCTAATGCCTCATTAGGCCATGCATCTACGTCAGATAATAGTAGTTTTCGTCAAAATAATAGTAGTTTTCGTCAAAATAATAGTAGTTGTAGTCCTGATGTACATCTACACGACAAGATAACTTTGCATCCTCCTGTTGCTGATGAAGAAGGAAAATTTGAATCAGTGGTGACTCAAAGACCAAAATCTTTGGGCAAGTATGCAGAATTAAATGCTGCGTTGTCCTCCTTTGAGGCAATGCTTGGAACGTTGACAAGAACAAAGGAGAGTATTGGTCGAGCAACACGTGTAGCTATTGACTGTGCAAAGTTTGGTGCATCTTCCAAGGTACAAAAAAGTTGATTCATGTTTCTTTTTGTTTAATTTTACTTCAATAACCTTGGTCACAGTGAGGACTGAACACTGTAAATTTTAGATTCTTGTACTCTTTTCCTGTCACCGCAACCGTCCAATGACACTTGCATAAATTTGTTGTCATCATCATCATCATCGTTATTATTATTTTAATTAGGTTGTAGATGTTCTTGCACGTTGTTTGGAAACTGAGTCAAGCTTACACCGAAGGGTGGACTTGTTCTTTCTCGTGGATTCTATTGTGAAAGGTAATAATGTATATCTATTTCTGAATTTTAAATTATATGTTATTGTCTAAGATATAAAACTGATTTATAGAGATATCTTAATCGTGTATGGATGTGAAAGTTGATATTGATATGAACAATAGGTGATGTCGGTGGTTGGTACCCATCTGCAATCCAAGCAATGCTGCCACGGTTGTTAGCAGCTGCTGCTCCTCCTTCCGTGCATGAAAATCGTCGACAGTGTCTCAAGGCAAGTGAAGGAAACTTGTTTCGTTTTGAACTCATTTAAAATAGTACATGTTCATTTTCTTCATGAGTTTTTGGTAGTCTTGCAATTAAAAGTTGATCTTTGGAGTGCACAATATAACTAAAGTTGTGAGCTGTGTTTAGGTGGGGTTGGGGGTTATTGCCTGTTGTTTTTGGATATAAATCTTTTTTTCTGTCCTTGTTACAGGTTTTGAGGCTTTGGTTAGAAAGGAAGATACTGCCTGAATCCATTATTCGTCGCCATATGCGAGAACTGGATTCCTATGGTGGTTCTTCCGGTGCCTTCTCTAGGCGCTCATTGAGAACTGAGAGGTCTTTCGATGATCCTCTTAGAGAAATGGAGGGTATGCTTGTTGACGAATATGGAAGGTTTGAATTAATTGATCTTGGTTTCCTGCTTTCTTTTGTATAGTTATAGCTTACATTTACTTATTTTTTCTCTCTTTTCCGTGTGGCAGCAATTCAAGTTTTCAGCTTCCAGGATTTTGTATGCCCAGCATGCTCAAGGATGAAGATGAAGGAAGTGATTCTGATGGGGGGAGTTTTGAGGCCGTCACTCCTGAGCATAGTCCTGAAAAACGTGAAGACCACGAACAAACATCTGTTGTTGAAAAGCATCGGCATATTTTGGAAGATGTTGATGGAGAGCTTGAAATGGAAGATGTGGCCCCATCTTGTGAAACAGAATTAACTTCTTCTGGTGCTATAGGAACAGTTGTCGCACAAGTTTCCCAAAGCCAGTTTGAACCAAATATGTCACTGCCTTTTGCGCCTCCACTGCCTCAGGATGTGCCACCATCATCTCCTCCACTTCCATCATCCCCTCCTCCACCACCACCTCCCCCTCCTGCCATGCACCCACCATGTGTTGTGTCCGCTTGTGCAAACGGCGTAGAAGCACATGTTTGTCCATAGACTTTTTACTGTTTCTACTTATTCTTAATGTTTTCTAATTCAAAGATGGGTTTTGATGGAACTAGAAGTGAAATTCATTATAATTTTGTTTCTTTCAATTTGGTTATGGTTGCAGAATATGCAGGACACCATGGTCCAGCCTGTTGCCCAGCAGTCAAATGCACCCAGAATCAACCACTATCCATCTTCTGAATGTAGAGATCATCAAAGGCAGATGCCTGAGTCTTACCCGGGTCCCAATTTTCACAACAAAGGCTACCCTTTACGGCCACCTCATCCCCCACCATCAAATCAGTTTTCTTATGTTCGAGAAGAACAGTTTAAGCCTCGTAGGGAGGGTGCCCCACCTCCTCCCTACTCCAATAGACACCACTTTGTGCAGAACTGGGACCGAGAAAACTTTTACAATAATCACGAGAGAATGAAACAAGCTCCACATGAGCATCACGATGGCTGGAGGTTCCCTCCACATTCTTTTTCTGGTAAGCTTTATTAAAAACATTTATTTTGAGACAGAGATGAGCCTCTTGGATGTTGGATTATTTGCTACTGTATTTTATCTCTGCTGACATCTATGCGTTTATTATTTGTTTTCCTGCCTTAGGTCCTCCCTATCCTGGCAAAGGGAAATCTTATGGACCTGTTCCATTTGTTGGCCCTCCGTCTGAACAAACAAGGTTACCTGATCAAGGTTGGAGATTTCCTCCACGCTCAATGAGCCATAGGAATTCCGTCCCTTTTAGACCACCACCTCTTGAAGGTCCTATACCTGTCTCAAGCAGAGGTGTTTTTACTTTCTGCTTTTAATTTAGTCTTACTATTTCAATTCGAATAAGTAGTTATAATAGATCAAGTGTTATCTTGTTGCGTACTTAGATTGTTAATTAGTAACAATTGGACGTAGAATCTGATGTTGCCTCCTTTCTTTCATTAGCTAATTTAATAAGAGGTTGTGGACTTACGTTTTCCATTTCAGGTCCAGGCTTTTGGCGGCCTAGATGAACAATTATAGTAGCTCATCACTTTCCGGTAGGTTATGGACATAATAACATCTCTTGTTTTTAAGTTCATGGTTTCTTTTATTCAAATCCTCTTGATAATTGAATACTATGCCACAATTTGACAGGTATCACGGTCTCACGGACCCATTTTTGATCTGGCTTCTGCTGCTAGTCAAGGAGTAGTTGGTTATGTTTTCATCCGAGCCATTGTCTTTTATGCTGCGTGGCGCGGGTGTTCACTAAGAGTATTGAGGGCTTGGCGGAGAAGTCCGACTCATTAACATGTCGGAGTTGTACATATGTATTTCAGTCGTGTTTTCTGCAAAAGCAGGAGCAGGAAGCCGGTTATTGTAGAGATGGTTGAGGGCTCTGACTAACTCTAGACTGCCATGTATAATTTTTCTTTCAATTTTACTATAATTTATTTGGAAGCCCGCCGTTGGAATCCTGGGTACATTACTGTATATGGTGAAATTTGTTGAAACTTGTAGAGAATTTGCCAAAAATGGCCTACCTTTAAACGTGCCAAAATATTGATCGTGTCTAACTTACAGAATCGACGACTGCTTCCTTAAATTAATTTCAGATTTGGATTGAAAGCCGTAATTTTTTGTGATATGAATAGTAAAGATTATGCTTGATTTTGTGGGCCCTTTAAAGGGTGCTAGAGAAGATATTTTTCATCATTTTATAAAATGCTCAGTAGGAATTTATTCTACCTAAAAATGATTTGGTGCTTCTGTTAATTCTGGTATGGGATTTTTTATGAATTGTGATCGCCAAGGGAAAACTCTGACTGTGTAAAGCCACCTTGAGTCCCTGAGAAAATGGATCACTGCTTGCCGAGTTAGATAGGGAGTTTGATTTTCAGTTCTGTTCATGAATATCAATGTGAATTAACCCGTTTGGTTCGTTAATTTGAGTTTTTAATTTGAGTTGAGATTTTGAGAATTTTTTGGCCTGTTCGGTTTGCTAATTCGAGTTGAGATGTGATGTTGTGTGAGTTTTTTATTGTAGCAAAAAAGTTAGATGTGATTATTTTTGAGAGTTTTTTACTGTAATAAAATTTGAATCAGCGAAAAAAATTAAGTCAACTGTAACAAAATTCAAATTTTAAATTTAAATTAGTGAAAAGAACGGGTTGACAAAAATACTGAGTTGTGAATTCTGATAATGATTGGTAATCAGACTTGAACCAGGGGGAAGCTAATCATCATGTTGGAGAGCCACCGGAAAATGTTGTATAAATATTGAATAAAATTGGGATTTAAGACGTGGATGACAGTCGTCATAATGTGTTCCCTTCCAACAACATTAATACGGTCGTTGGCAAGTGGAATGACTGAGCATCTCATCATGTGATACTTCATTATTCTCCACCTGCCGCCCTAGCATTCCAAGAGTATGCCATGCTTCTTACTCTTGGTTTCGAAACCTGTTTGACTTTTTTCTAAATTGTTGAATACATTAAATTAAAAAAAATATATAAAATAGATAAATTTTAATATAAATATAACGGTTTGAAAAGTGAAAGACAGTTTGTAGTCTATTTTTATACTTAAAAAAAAAAATCTTTTTTTTGTTTTTTGTTTTTGTTGTTATTTAACCCCATGCAAATCAGATACTTTACAACCTCAGAATTCCACCAAGTTCTGTTATGAAAAACCAAGAGTTACCATAACGTATTCATATCGTGGAATAAACAATAAATTAAGAATAAATATTGTACGAACAAGTAATTTCAGAAAACTTTATCTTCTTTTTGTCAATACAATATAAAAATCTGTTATAACTATAGATGTAATAGCGGTGAACGTGGATTTTAGCGACTTGACGAATGTGAAAGGTTGACCGACTTAGCGAAACGAAATGAAAAACGACGAAAGGAATTGCATAAAAATAGAGCACAGACAGCTATAATGCCGGACCCCACAATCATAAAATGGTCTCGATTCTCATCGGCATCATCATCATTTGTCATCATCATAATCCAAGCCTATCACAGGGCGACACAACTTTGAACGGCCAGCCCCCCAAAAAGCCGATAATAATTCAAAAATCACAAACCCATTATTTATCTGTTTATTTTTTTTCTTTTTTTAAAAAAATTATTAAAAATCTTCTGCTTTTCGTCGAGCGTTAAGAGATGGGTGCTTCTCAATCCGTATCTGAAAAATCCATCCACGAATTCACAGTCAAGGTGATCCTAAAGTTCTGTTTTTTTTTTTCCCGGGAAAATCAAGCTTTTTCCTGAGAAACTGTCGGAAAATCTTGAACTGGTTTTTTCTTTTTTGGTGGTGTAGGACGCCAGAGGCAAGGACGTTGACCTTAGCAGCTACAAAGGGAAAGTCCTTCTCGTCGTTAACGTCGCTTCCAAATGGTTCTCGCTCTATCTTTGTTATTCTTTTTATTTTATTTAAATAATTACAATAATTTCCTTTTTCCATAGATTCTGGGAATCTGAAATCTGAATTTTAACAATTCATGATTTTTTTTCCCCCCCACTTTTTGCTGTTTACGCAGTAGCTATACGGATTCGAATTATACTCAACTGACTGAGCTTTACAATAAATACAAGGACAAAGGTCTGGTCTTTCCATTTTTTCCCTTTTAGAATCTACGTTAGTATGAAAATTCGTATATACTATATAGATACGTTTTATACGTGTATTAAAACAACCGAACTGTAATTAATTTTTCAGGATTTTCCTCTTACATGTCTAACTTCGTTTTCCTTAATAAACTACTTTTGGTTCCCCTCCACCCTTCTTTTGTAATGGTATTTGGTACTTTATCATATAGAAGTTGAAAAATTAGAGGTTATATTAAACTTTTTGGATCGGAGGTCTCGTCAATTTTGGGTAAATATGTGATTATACTTTAAGAATTCTAAATATGATCTTGAGATTATTATTATTACTATCTTTTTGACATTAAAAAGCTTTGGATCAAAGGTCTTATGGTTATTAGGTAAATGTTGATTATGCATTAGGAATTGCAATTTGTTGTTTATGAACTGCTTGGGGCTTTGATTTGATTATTACAGGTTTGGAGATATTGGCATTTCCGTGCAATCAGTTCTTAAAGCAGGAGCCTGGGACGAGCGAGGAGGCGGAGAAATTCGCATGCACTAGATACAAAGCTGAATATCCGATCTTCCAAAAGGTGATTGAATACTTTGTGATCTAATTTTACATTGGATTAGAGTTATATTATTATGTGTTCTAGAGACTATGCCAATTGCTGTAGATCGACAAAAGCGATGTGAAATTCCTACTTATTGTTGTATTTTTTGATAGGCATTTAAGGTTTTAATTAATTTAGATTTTAACAGTCAAAGATGTTTCTTCACACTGGGGTTGGCGTTTAGCTTGGGGATGATGACTGTAGAGGAAACAGTTTAGTGTTGCGACTTTCATGGGGATCGAGCTTTTTTGTAGCTTTGACAATGAAAACGTTATAGTTTCTAGTTTATTCTCTGGAACTAACTTTTTCTAAATTAAGTTGGGGATGGAATTTATGGAGTTACAGATGTTTTTAAGATAAAGTAACAATTATGACCTACATAGTCGACTCATAATTTTCTTCCATATAAGGTATCAATTTCTGTTTCACATAGACGTAACAGCTGAAACGCTTAGAGAGTGATGGTACATCTTTTCTATTGATCACAGTGAGTACATAATACATATATACAAAATACACGAGTGTGAATACAATGAATTGGTAAGATACTTATTCTAATCAAATCATCTTAAATCAACGAATTGAGAAAATACAAATCACGTATAAATGGAAAACCCATCACGGTTCCTTAATACTATGTTGTGGCGGGCTGCTTGGCCTGGTCTATGTCTCTTTGATTTTCTCAGCAAAGGAAAAAAAAATGTCTCCGCGATTTCAGTATTCTTCACCCTGTTTCCATGAGATGAGGAGGTTCTCATGTTCCTCCTGTTTAGGATGATTAATTGGCAAGTTTGTGCAAGCCTCCTGGCTTTCATTTGCTGGCACTTTTTTTTCTTTAAACCAAGTTCATGATCTTTATTTCTTAACGACTGATTGACATTTGTCGAAAACGAGCCTAATGTCTTGATACGATCTGATCCTAATGAAATTCAGGTTGCTTGGTCTTCACAAATCATATTTAGGCCTAGTCACTGTTCTGTGTTCTTTAATATTCCAAACTTCTAGATACTACAGTTTTTTCAACTGTACAAGATTTTTTGGGAACTCTAAAAATGTATGTGATATGATATTTGTGGTTTCTTTTTTTTTTTTTTACCTGTTAAATATTTTTTGGGAACTCTGATGATGTATGTGATATGATATTCCTCAAACATAGACAAATCGGTCCAACAAAAATAAAGTAGTGGGTTCCCCTCGACACCAGAAATGATGTGAAATCGTGAAGTTGTTTCAGATATTTCTTTCTTTTGTTGTCATTTTGTTAATTCTCTCTTGCCCACGTTTTTCTTAGTTCCAGAGGGTGAAGGAGCTGGAGTTGGAAGTTGGTCTTTTGTGAATGAAGCCAAAAACAAAAATGATGGATGGCTAGGAAGATATTTTCTTTTCCTTTTTCATTGGGTGCCTAAATAACTTTCTTTTCTCTTTGACACCCAAAACCAGTAACTCTCAAGACGATTGAAACCAGTCCTCACTAGAAACCATGAAAGAAGAAAAGAAATTTCAAAATCATTTCACTGAAGAATTTCAACATCATATGCACTGCTGAGTCCACTCTAGCGCACCAACATGCTAAAGCATTCTAGTTTTGTCTAAATTTTTTATAACTTTGTTTGTCTTGTGTTGATGTTAATAGTTTCAGTTTCTCTTTAAAATATTCTGCGTCCAACTTAAATGTGACACAAAGGAAGGAAGGGTTTTGGTTGTGCATAAAGCAAAATGACAATCTACCAATGCTATTACTTGATAACTCACCCATCTTTTAGATAAATTTAATTACATTGCAAGTTGAAGTTTGCCTAGAACTTGACTTGTTAACTTGACATCTCCACACTTCTTTTGTGCTAGGTGAGAGTCAATGGGACCGACACAGCACCTGTATACAAATTTCTCAAAGCGAGTAAAACTGGATTTCTGGGATCTAGGATAAAGTGGAATTTCACCAAGTTCTTGGTTGACAAGGATGGCCAAGTCATCGAGCGCTATGGCACGGGCACTGCTCCTTTGGCCATCGAGGTTCTCTCTCTCGTTCTCTCACTTTCACGCGCACGGCACATACACTCTTCATTCAGAGTACTTATATTATTTTGTTCTTGCTTCTCTATTTTGGTATCTTTGACTCAGGCCGACATTAAGAAGGCATTGGGAGAAGCGTGAGATCTCTCCTTCCCAGTTCAGATTGTACCATAATATTATCCGTCCTAGTGTGGAAGGCCAAAACTTCTAGAGTTTATGAAGTGATTAGTGCCTATGTTCGCTGCTGCTGTTTGATTTTCCCACTTTTTACATCTTTTTAAGACCTGTACCCACTTGTAATATTCTTTTCTCTTCCTTTTGACTTCATTACTACCACCATGTCCAATATTCGTTCTGTTGATAAGTCTGATGTACTGTGTAATCTCTGTTCTCTGAAACACTTTTAAAGTCAAAATAAGACTCTGTATCCATTGTGTATATTATAGCTTCGTTGACTTCGGAAATTCAAATTTTCAATTCGAGTTGAGATGTGATATTTTTTTAAAATTTTTTACTGTAGCAGAAAAAGTTAGATGTGACATTTTCTGAGAGTTTTTTATTGAAAAAATTAAAAATTGAAAACTCAAATCGGTTAAATGAACGAGATTGAGAAGTGTAGTTTGCTTCTCTAATTATGTTATTATTATTTTTTTTTTCTACACCACTATTTCCCTTCTTTTTAGCTAATAAATAAAACCGACCATAAAAGTTGGTACTCCCGACAGCTTGGATTTTCATTTATAACTGAATCAAAAAGTTGCAGAAACCAAACATTCTCATCTTTGAAAATTCTGGCTAGCACCCATGTGATGCACATTTCTCACCACCCAAGAAATGTACGGGAGGACAATAATTTAAAATATATTAAGTCCTGTTAGTGCAGCCAAGTTCAGCTTCACATTTCCGCGACAAGACTCCCTAATTATCTGACACGGTTGACACAGTTTACACCTTATCCTTTAGATTTTGTTTCCTCAGCTTCGGATAAGCTTAATGGGCCCATTTCCCTGCTGGTCTTGACTACAACAATTGGGTGTTGTTTCCCACGTGGGCCGGACCCATAAGAAAACAGAATCTTTTTATTATTACTACCCGAAAAAAGGACCCATGGATGACGACCCAGGACAACACGTGTGGTGATCCAAACCCACTAATTTTGCAAAAGGGTGGGCCCAAATGTCTAGTCTTGGGGTCACAATAACAAGCCTGGTTGAATTGTTAGGTTGTTGTTGAAGGCGAGGTGTCAAGGCTTGTGTTTGCCTAGAAAGAAGAAACTCTCAAAACGTTTTTATGTGAGTTGTTCACGAGAAAAAAAGGAAGATAAGAAGAATTGATTTTTGTTTGCTTTGTTAACAATTGACTTTGAACTGGATTAGTCACGACCGGCAATGATAAGTGGCCGGCATAAGTTAAAGTCGAAATGTTTTTTTAATTGGTTTTGGACAAAGCTTGGATTGAACTTGGGCTAGAGCTAGACACAGTGCACGTGATGGTTTGGTGGCCTTTTTCATGGTTATGGAGCCTTTTGTCTTCATTGCTATACATGTGGGCTCCCCTCATTACTCATGCCAAGTTTATCATGTTGGAGATGTCAACATTATTCTTCTTTGGTCTATGAATAGCCAACATGGTTTTAATATGTGAAAACAATTGAAGTTATGCCTCTTAATTGCCTAATATGTGGTTGATTAGCTATTCACGTGTTGGGATAATGTGGTTTTGGAGTTCAAATTTAAGGGTGGTTATATAATAAATTTTCGGTGCCTGCCCAATTTTTTTTGTGGGAAAGTTTCCTTTGAACCCCTTTTTAGAGTTTATATTATATGGCATTAACACCCTTTTAGGATTGGTATAAATGATAATTAAGAAGGTCTTTAAAAGTGCTTATTTTGTGGCAAAGTTTTGGCCGTGTTGGGAATGGATTCCGTTTTTATTTTTCACGTTTTTTGATAAAGAAAAAATAAAAACGTTTTCAAAATGACATTTGACGCAATAAAGACAAAAAACAGAAATGAAAATGATTTTTTAATTTAGTGTAAAATGAAAGAGAAATGAAAAATAACTTTTAGTCACTTTTTCATTTTTTATTTTTATTTTCTCCTCTGTCGAGCAGAGAGATAGATATATATTAATGGGTTTTTTTACACTGAAAATAATATCTTGATAAAACTACCAAATGTATTTTTAAAAATGATTTATATTTGAGATTGAAAACATTTTTATTTTTATTTTCATACAAAAAAATAAAATCATTTTAAAACGAGTTCTAAACGCGCTCTTTGTGTCTAGACTCTAGATTGACCATGATTTGCCCTTATAGAAATGCTTTAAACCTTTTTTTTAATGCATAAAATTAATTTATAATATCTATTTGAATAGTTGGCCCTTTTTGTCTCTGGTTTTTTAATCCGAGCTTATCCCTGTCTTTATTTGCTTGGAGTTTGGACTGCATTTTTTTTCCCATTCTCTCTTATTTTAATTGCCGGTCAGCTGGAGTTGTTGAATTTCTAAAAGTTTGTGGATTTTGCTTAAATCATATTTTTTATTTTGCAATTCCTTTTTGGGGTTTCACTAATATAAACATGTTTTAAATGATATGCAACAGCGGTCTGTCATTGTTCTTATAGCTTATATTATGAATGAAATACAAAACTTTGATTGATCAATTATTATGATAATGCAAATTAGTTAATATATAACTAATCATCCTGGCCAACACATCCATAGGAAGATAATAAGAAAATGTGAGATGACATCATCATAACCAATTATGGATATTACCTTACTTAGTGGCTATAACAAGTGTCTAATAGCCATTTCATGATACATAACATTTCAATAAATTAACCAACTCAACTACTTGTGTCTTGTACCTTTCTTGGCCCTTGTGTTCTTTATCTCTCATCCCCAACTCATTTTGACTTTTGGGTAACTAACCAATTTTGAAAAACCATATATACCGATTATTGCTAATCAAACTAAGGTAAATGATAGTTATACATACCCTAATAATGATCATCAAATTTGTAATTATGCTAATGCATTCATTAGTAGAATATGAGCATACGTAAATGAGCAAGAATTAAAGGTGAGGCATCACATCATGTACATAAATGATCCTTCAGATTGCTTACCTGCCCAGATTCCTATTGTAACAAATTCGGCCTACAAAGCATGGATGTAGAAGATAGCAAATGAAAGAGATTTTTTTTCCCTTCTCACAACAGAAACTGAAAAATTATTCCTTATTCTCTCTTTAATTAATATATTCATTACATATGTCCCAACACCATCTGCATGCATGAACGTAATCATCACCGCATATATCAACAAAATACACATGTCTGAATCTGATCATGTGTCTGCCGATCCATCATTGTTTTCAATTTTCCATGTAAATAAAAAAGGACAACATATATAGATAATAAAGCTATATATACGCGTATATATGCATGCATATATCTAGATATGGAAGACAAGGTGACCCTGCAGAGGGTAGAGTTGCTGAGAGGTCCTTATCAAAGGGGTGTGGCAAAGGGGGACAACCCAATAGGTCTGCTTTGTCACTTAACTAAAACAGTGGGGTCTTCTCCAAATGGCCAACCTTTGTCAACCACCACAACATTTCTCCTCACATATCTCTACTCATCATCCCTTCCCTCTATTTAAGATCCCATTTGGAGACCATTTTTCAAAGCCAAAAACACACACCAAAGTTACACACACACACACACACACATATATATATATATATATATCAAATTGTATCAAGTTAAAGTAGTATTGAACATCATCCAAATTTCAAACCAAGAAGTCCAGTTATTTTCTTCATTAATTTCATGTGCAAAGATCAAATGGCAGCTGCAAACACTTTCTCAACAAGGAGTAGTTCGAAGCAGGTCCGGGCATGGCCAAGATGCTCAAAGCAGATAAGAGAGCAGAGGGCAAGGCTTTACATAATATGGAGGTGTACTGTGCTTCTCCTTTGTTGGCATGATTGATCAGCTCACTCATGATCACCATCAGTTGAGATGATCATCCAAGATGTGATTTTGCTCAGATCAAGCTTTTGGCTGAAGGATTTTGTTTGTGGGGTCCAAAATTGTTGCTGATCATCAAATTGCAGCATTAATGGGTGTCCCTGGGAGTTGTGGTTAAGAGTAGAGTTAAAGCTTTAGTGACTGTAGTATTTTTTTTGTTTTTTTTTGTTTTTTTGGTTTATTAGAAGATAGAAAAAAAAAAAGGCATGAAGCAGATGTACATTTACCATATAAACAAATCTGATATTGATAATATCACTCTTTTTTCTCAAAAAGTGTTTGGTATGGATCCATTTTATAACTTTGATGCATTTTACATGCTATAGTTAGTTCCATACCATATGCATCTCTTTAAGCGGCAATCCACATTCCTAAAGAATTCACTCTCTAAAATAAGCAATTTAGTATTTTCCCCTTCAAAGGTATGTATGTAAAACATGGTACTAAATTTTCTTTTGCTTAGCTGAGCACATTTTCAACAAAATAATAATGATGTAGCAGTGTTAATCGTTGCTTGTGATCAAGGACAAGAACACAATTGAGTTTTAGCAGTTTTTATTAGTTCATTTGTTTTTCTTCTGTTTCTTTTTTATTCACGTGTACCCTTCTTTGTGGGGTCCATTCAAATGGTTTAGTGAATCAATTTCTTGATTTAGAGTTATCCGCCTGTGTGTGGCTTTTTGTAAAGCATCTTATCAATCTAATTGACTGAATCAGGTTCTTGTAGCACCAAAAAAATAACAATAAAAAAAAAAACCAGAAAAAAGCTGAATCGGGTCCGCAAACAAGGAGATTATGGGACTAAAAGAGCCACCACGTATGGGAGGTGGCTGAAAGGTAACTCCCCATTCTGTCACGTGTAAACTAGTCTCATTTCTGCTTCAAGCTTTTGATTTAGGGTAATTGACTACCTGACGTGAATTGCGTTTTTAGCTTCTAGTCGTTTGGATAGCTTGGTTTTCCAAATAAAAAGATTTTGATCGGGGAACTTCTCCGGTAAGTCGGTCCATCAGTAGGCTCTATTTCTGACTATTAAATCTGATCAAAATCATATTAGATTAAAAAAATATACATAATAGATAATTTTTTTATACAGATTTAACGATTAAAAAATAAAAAATTACTGATAATTTATTTTTTTTAGTCCTATAAAAAAAACTCCATTTTAATTAACCAGATCTTTTTTCTTTGGGAAGGGAGGAAATCATGGTCTGGCCTTTGGAAAAAAAAAAAATAAAATAAAAAAAATATATA